GAGGACTGGAACACTTGCTGACGAAGATCAAGGACTGTAGCCTTCAGTATGGATTTCAACTCAAGGTAAGGTACACCCAAATCCTCACAACTGGACCAAGAGGGAACATCATGGCAAATGGAGAAAAGGTTGAAGTAGTCAAGGATTTTGTCTTACTTGGATCCAAAATCAATGCTCATGGAAGCAGCAGTCAAGAGGTCAAGACAAGATGCACCACATTAGATAAATGTGCTATCCAAGGCCTCTTAGAGTACTGAAGAGCAAGGATGTGACTTTGAGGATCAAGGTGCTACTGATCCAAGCCATGGCATTCTCCATTGTGTGATATGCGTATGAAAGTTGGAAATTGAATAAAGAAGACCTGAGAAGAATAGGTGCATTTGAATTGTGGTGCTTCAGAAGAATATTGATACTTTCATGGACTGCTAAAGGGACTTCTTTGTGGTCCTTGTAAATATCTCCCTTAGGAAGTACTGAGAGACTCTCCCTTTATATTCCTGATATATATTTTCACTCTTGTGAAACAGTCCTGTTCTTAGACTGGTCATTGGGGATCGAACTAACAAAGTCATTCAGGTCATCCATTCCCTGCAATGAGGACTGCCACTAAGGCCTTAGATGCAGTGTTGCAGGGGTTACAATATTACTAAAATGAAGCTACCTTTAACCTGAGTGGGAATGATGTTAACATTCACTGCTATCACAGGCCAACAGGATGTAAATCCTGAAGGCAGATCTTAGAGAACTCCTGGCATATCAGCCAGCACCCTATTCTTGCTGGATGGTGTGCTCTGGGAGTTTCTGAATCGTGGTAGGAAAAGTGATGGCACAGTGGTAACACAGGCAAGGAACTACTGACCAAATGATACAAATATATTTCAATAACTTCAGAAGCAATATATCTCTTCTACTGACCCAATTCTGAAGAATCAACCATATATAGAATGGTTCTGGTTTATAGAAGCTGAAAAGCAGTCATGTCTATGGCTCCAATTTTTTGAGGATAATGGCTCCAAAATTTGGGGCTAAGAATACCCGAGGATCCCCAGTATCTATTCAAGAGATCCATAAAGTTTATCCTTTTCTAATTAAAAGTCTATGTGAAGTCAAATTTTATTTACATGCTTAAATTGAAGCAACATATAACAACAGAATAAATAGGGAAGCACATATTAATTTGAAAAAATAGGTGACATAGTGCCATTCATCACAAAAGTATCTTTGCTTAGAAAAATAGAACCAATTTTCAAAAGAATAGACTGTTTTATGGTGGATTCACTATTGTTTACTTTAACAAATTAATAAATAATTTTTATTTGGAAGTGGAAAGAGATCCAGATACGGAAGAGTTTGGAACTGCTGAAAAATAAAATGATAAGAGTGCTAGAATGTCAGAAAAAAGGGGCTTAAGCGCCTCAATCCCTGATGATTCTTGATTAAGAGAGTTCTGGTTGCCACTCAAAAGATTATTTAATACTTTTATAGTACCTTTTTACAATACTCCATAAGTGTTTTCACTTGTGTGAAAAATATCCACCACCACATATTTACATTTCCAAACCTTACTAGTTTACTTATTCCACAATTAGTTTAATAGAAAGACATGCATTTCATCAAAACTATGCTCACACAATGATCAAAATGTCAGGCAGAAGACAGCTTTGAATAATAGAATAAAATTAGCATTAGCCTATCAATTGTTATTCTTCTGGTACTTCTCAAATACTTTCAGTCCTCTGGTTTTGTTTCTTAAGCATTCCATCAGAAATACGTTCCACATTATTATTTTTTAACATAACTTTTTTTATTAACATAGCTTTTAAGAAGAGAAAGTAAATATCCACCTTAGTCTGTATGGTTATCTCAAATTCGAAAGCAGCCTAATCAAACTTACCCTCTGTCATCCTATCTAAAACAATTACACCATTGTTTTATGCCCCCCCACCCCAAATCAAACAAAAACAACAGCTAAGATGACCTCTTGCTACATGTAGGCTGCCAAAGGCTTTATCTCCAGTGTACAGGTAAATGAGAAACAGCCATCGGACCAGAAAGTTGCATGTCTCAGTGTTGACAATGGATGAAGCAAGGGGACTTCAACTCCAAAACTCCCTGGAGAACTTGGCCCGTCTCTTCACTTTGTGTCCATTCTTGCAACCAGTCTAGTCAACGACCTTAAGCAGGGAATGTGGCATGACCTCACAGAGATGGAGCATACAGGTGTGAGATGTAACAGGAGAATCAATTGCAGAAGTGTTGGCAAGTAGGAAAGCATACGTGGTGGCTCACGCCAAAACGTGTCTTAGAGTCAATGTCATAGTTAGAATCAGCTAGTACATAAAACTAAATCTTTCCTATATAGGATGTATTTGTATTGCATCTGGCTTTATTAACTAGGTTAATTATTGTATCTTGCTTTAATATCTATACTAACATACTTTAAATTGCTCTCCAAACTTACTGTCATCCATTCAAGGCTGACTCAGTGAGGAGATAGGTTCCCCTTTTCCCCCCTGCAGACCGGGGCGGTCGGAGATGGCCACCATGCTGCTCACTCCCATTTAGACTCCAAAACCAAACCAAACTCACTGCCATCACGTCACTGCTGACTCACAGTGACCCCTGTGGGGTTCGGAGACTGTCACTATTTACTGGAGTACAAAGTCCAGTCCTTCTCCCGTGGAACTGCTGGCTGTTTCAAACTGCACACAATGGGTATTGCCACCCAGTACATAACCACTACACTCTCAAGGCTCCTACTAAGAACAAAACTAAAAAAAATTCATAAGCTTACTGCCATTGAACTGATGTCAACGCAGAGCAATCTCATAGGACTGGGTAGAACTGTCCCTGTGAGTTTCTGAGAATGTAACAGGTAACCAGGCAAGGGAAAAAGTAATAGGTCTACAGAGTTAGCCAACAATCTTTTCACATGTGTCTACTTCTAAGATACCAATCAAAGTATACAAATTTGTATGTTCACCCCGGAAACAAGATCTTTGAAATATTCCTCCTGCTATTGAATGCTATTTTTACTGAGTTCTTTCTTCTATATGTACATATTTAGAGTGAAGTTTTATTGATAAAAGAAATTATTATAGCCCCTTTATTTTTATAGTTCAAGAGCAAAAATCTATAGCTCTTTCAAAGCAAATTTTGGAAGCAAAAATTAGAGATACACCCTCAGAACATTTACATTATAAGGTGTTCTAGGTCCTAAACTTGACTCAACCATATTTCCAGGCCTTAAAACATTTGTTGTTTATTATGCTCATTACCACAAAGCCTAGATTCTTCATACAGTGGCAGGGGGGAAGCTGTAAGTCTGCATTTCCTTCATGTTTTTTAATTCAGCTTCCAAGAAGTGCAGGTTCAGGCAAGGAGTCTTCCTGCAATTGGCATCTATTGTGTGAATATAACATTGTAGCCTCTTTAGGGGAGAAAGGAAGAAAAGTTGTAGTCTAAGTGCTAAAGCCTGGGGCTTTCTAGTTATGACCTCTGGTCCACAGTTAACTCTGATAGGTATGTATTTAGCTAGGTCAGATTTTTTTTTTAACCAAGTATGTTTTTCTAGACCATGGACAGATACAGCAATACATGCTGTTTGCTGGGGAAGGAACTAGGGCTGCCCACTGAGGCCCCAAACTCCTTGAAAAAGTCCATATACCTTCCACCTTCTATTTTCATTCTACTATAAACTGCTCCTTAAAGTTGGAAATATTTAAAATTTTGCCCTTTTTATTAACTTTGGGTACTCAATAATGATTCTCTTTTACATGTTTTCATGCCACGAGCCACTAGATTACACAGTACTTGAATATAGCTGTGAACTTTTTAGAGGCTTTTTGAGACCTGCTTGGAAACACTCAAAGCAGACAATAGTCTGAAAACCTGCAAACTGACTCAAAGGTTTGCTGAGAAAAATTCCAGACGTCTTTATTTCTTTGCAATGCTCTCCCAGTGTTGAAAATATAAAATGATGCATTAGGTAGGATGTTCCTTAAATGATAAATGGATGCTGTAGGTCCTTTGAATAGAAATAGTAAATAAAACTTCTCTTGAAATGATGGGCTTGGTACAAACGGCATTCAATGAAGTCATTCAAACAACTTGATTCCATTTCACAAAGAATGAAAAGACCTCATAGGGTCCAAGGCACCTTTTCCCTTCGTCTCCTTCTTATAAAAAAAATACCCGAAGGGAATCCATCCCCAAGTGGCATTAGATCCATAAGCCTATTTTTCTATTACTCTGTGCTAGAAGGAGAAATAGATCAGCAACTGTAGAATGATTTTCCTTTGCCCTGATTGCAGAAAGCAAAACTCATATATTTTAACCTTTCTCAGTACTTCTTGATCAACAGAAAATGTCATTCTATGTATACTTATGTAACATGGTGTGTAGATAAATCATTTCAGTGGTAGAATGAATGAGATCTAAATTTGGGCTTGCATTTTTCAAAAGACATTCAACTTTTGATGTCAATTGCACTGAGGATATGTTCTTCAGTAAGTACACTCTCATTTGATAATCATCGTACAAGTATAGATCAATTCTTTGTAGATAAGTCTTTCAGTGAGTGCTTTTTGGGTTCAAGAGTTCTTAAAGACATAAAAATACCTGGAGTGTAAAACTGAGATCAATTCTGAAGGAGCCCTGTCAGGTAAGGTTTACACTGCTAACCTCTAGACTGGGGTTCAAACCCACCAGTGACTGCAGGAGAGAGATGAAGCCGTCGGCTCCTGTGAAGGCTGACAAGGCCCCACAAAACCTATACAAAGTTGCTGTGAGTTGAAACAGACTCCACAGCAGTAGGTTTGGGGAGACTAGTACCCTTAATTTTATCTTGAACACACTTAATAGGCCTGCTAATATCTCCCTTCCATAGCCAGTTGGTTCCCACAGGACCTGATTTCATCATGGCACCTAAACCATCCTTGCGGCCTTCGGTGGAAGCTCTGCTTCCCAATGTCAGAGCCCCAGTTGATATCAGGACTCACCTCTCCTTCTCTGGGCCAAGGCCTCCCATTCTGGGTGTATTTGCTCTGATTCTGTCTCTTCTTTTGTCCTCCATCCGCAAATTTGCATAATAAAGGCTCATTGGGGGCTGTGAAGATAAGAAACCAATTCCATATTAGCAAACCCCTCTTAAAGACAAGTGATTATTTGAGTCACAGTAGAGCTTTGTAATGCATCTCTTTTGAAGCAACCTCTTGCTTCTGCAGAGATATTTGGCCCCCCTTTTTTGTCTCAGTTCTGTTGGCCACTGTTCTAACTGGGCTTCAAAAACACACTGGCAGACCATAAAAGAATATAACAAATATCGTTGAAAAAATAATCAAACAAAGTGGAATGTGAACTAGCCTTAGAAGTAAAAAGGCAAGCGTCATCTCCTTCCAGTTATGTTGGAAACACATTCATAACGGCTATTTGTTGTGAATAAATATTTCCCTCTCACAGGAACTGTGTTTTTACTCTAAAAGCAGTGGAATTCTCTTTGGGAAAGAGGAGTTTAGCAATGACTTTCTGAAAAAGAGAGCTCTTTTGCTAAGCTTAGCCAAATTAGTTTTGTTTTTCTCAGTAACCCTGTGCAACTCCAGAATGGCTAGAAATTGATCATCCATCCAACCACTTTCACTCTTTTTCCAAGCAAAAAATGAAAACCAAAAACTAGCTAAAAGTCCAGTAAGAGCAAGCACTGGACTATGAAGCCAACCCACATGATACAAAGGTTGTGGTTGTCGCCTGTGGATTGTTACATAAGTTACTCAGAACCACTGGGGGAAATGCAGTGGTCCTGAGTAACTCACATATTTGTACTCCCCCAGAAGAGGTGACCAAAGCTGACGTATGTCAGAACTTTTTTCACGATTATATTTCAAAATGACTATTTTTTAATATACAATGGGGCAAAAATATATTCATTCAGAATTCTTCCAGAGCCCTCTTTGGAGAAATGGCTACTTATGATTGTCACCAGTACATGTAAAATTGAATTAAAAAGAGAAACTCACTTTGGACTAACAAACTTGTTCAGTACATTAAGATTGCTGGGAGGGCTTTTATTGCTGCAGTTGTTAGTTTATTTGCTTAAACAAATCTAAGTTTAATTAAACATGCACACTATGAAAAGCAGAAAAACAACCCCACCCCACTTTCTTCCCATCCCTCCACCAGTACAACATGTTGTTAAAGAATCAACTGTGTTATGTTCCTAATTCTTCTCTGATCCCCATATTCACACAGGTTATCGTAAAATCTTATCCAGCTCTCTCATTCTGATTTTTGAACTGACCCCACGTGGCTTGCTTGGCCAATGGACTCTTAGCAACTGGAGTTAAAAAGAGGTGAGGCATTGACTTTGGTTCTTTTGTTCCTTTCCCATGCCCATGGGAACATGGTCCAGGTAGGCTGCTAGAGGATGACACACAAATGAAGATGGGTCATGAAAACATCCAGCCAAGGCCGGACTAGATCAACCAACACTTAGATCAGCCGTCATCCAGACATACACAAGTCAGCTCATCCAAGATGAGCAGGGGTGCTCCATTAACCTACAACTGATAGCGGAAAAATATACGGGCCCAGGCGAGATCAGCCAAATCCAGTCCAACATAAATTTGTGAACAAGATAAATTTTTATCAACGTTCTACTGTGATTTTCTAATTGATATGCGACATTGTTATCTTAATAGAGACATTTAGACATTTCTCCACCCTCAAAACATATTGCTTCTCAATCACCACTTCCAGCCAAATACGGATGCTACATAAAACCATAGGGCTTTCAACTATTTTCAAACTCAATAGTGGAAAAAAGAATGCAGACAAATAGGCATATACAAATAAATATTTTAAAATCACGTGGTTCCATGCAGCAATGTTATTTAGCCCATGCCTTGTATTAGCAGCACAACTTTGTTCATCAGTATGATAGGTGTCTTAGTCTAGGTACCTTAGAAAAACAAATCCACAGCAACTCATGTATAAGAGAGTTTTATGTAAAGAAGGTGTGCATCACAAAAACATCCCAACCCAATGCTGCCCAAGCCCACAAGTCCAACATTAACACATTAATCCAACACCAGTCCACAAAGTCCTCCACCCCACAAAACAGGCAATGATGCCGACTGCAGGAGGAAAGCTGAGTCAGTGAACGAATAAGCATCTCAGCACTAGCAGGGGTCTCCACACGGCTGCTCCAGCACTCATGGCTGCATCGGGGTAGGTCCATGTGGCTTCTCCTTGGGGATGTCTTGTAGGAAGTCAATCTTGCAAGCTGAAGCAGGGAACTGCTAAGGCAGCTGCACCCTGGTGCAACCATCACAAAGCAAGAGACCTGAGAACTTGAAAGGTGAGGCTCACCACCCATTTATCCCTCCGCCTTTCAATTAGCCCCACATGTGATTATCGGCCAGGTTGGCACAATTAACTAACTCAATAGGCAATGGCTCAAAGGGAGAGGGGCGGTCACCTTTTGCTAAGAGAAATGAAAAACAAAATGTCTTTTATTGCTTGAAGTATTAGAGCTTAAATTCTGAGTACTTGGTTTGTGGAAGGTTAGAATGGGAGTCCTACGTCTATTCAGAAGTTTCAAATAGATCCAGCCTCCATGGAGTTCTTTCTGACCAATCACCAACAATGTAAACTACTTTGCCCTCAGACACCACAGATTATTGTGAGTCCAGGGAGGGTCGGTTTCTTCTATCTTGGGAACTTGCCTGAGTCTGCCTTTGATGGAAATTGGGGTACTGGGGTCACATAGTCAAGAGACATACACCCCACTCCACCAATACATCTTGTAAGCTTATCTTATGTGCAATCATTTTTTTATCCGAATCGTGGTCCTGTTCCAGTTCATCCAGCAACTATGATGAGTCATGATTCTGGGACAGCTCCTTTGTTCTCCATGTCCTATTTAAGTTGCCATGTGACTGGGAACCCCGTGACACCCTTAAGGCCTCATGTTGATGGTCTTTGCATCAGGATGGCTTTTGTTTGCTTGTTTTTAAGTGTTCTTCTGTGTAAGACTTGATTAAGTGGTCTCTATGAATTAGATTTGAATTTAGGGTCCTTTTTTCCTGTTAAACACCTATGAAGCCAGAATATAGCACTCCGCCCTGGCATGGGCTCTGTGTGGTCAGAGAACTCCAGCTGCATCATTAGTTCACTGAGTAGAGATGACCTATATCTGTTCTGCTCTTCTGAGCAGACCAGTGATTTGGTGACGACACTTAAAAAACATCAAAAAGCCAAAAGCAGCAACTGAAGGTGTCTAGACAGTTGGTTCCCTCATATAAGAAGCTATTGTAATTTTTACTCCAGAAGAAAATACAAAGGCCAAATATAATTACTGGACCTCAAACCACTGTGTGTAAGAAATTTTACTCTGCACGATTACAAAACTGTGTGTGTGTGTGTGTGTGTGTGTGTGTGTGCGCGCGCGCGCGCGCAATCCCTTGTGGTCCACTGGGTCAAATATTGGGTTGCTACTGCTAGGTCAGGGTTTCCAACCCACCAGCTGTTCTGCAGGAGCAAGCTGAGGTGGTCTGCTCCCACAGAGATGTGCAGCTCCCGACACCTCACGGAGCAGTTCTCCTCTGTGGTACAGGGCTGCTGTGAATAGAAATGAACTTGATGGCATTGGGTTTAGTTTTGTTGGCTTGGGGGTATATATGTGATACATGTACGTGTATAATACATAGATAGATCCATATATCCACAAAATGTTTCTTCACTAGGGAGCATTTTCTCTCCTGCTTGCTAATATATGAGATTGTTGCTGGCAGTAGTACATTTTTTCTAGAAAGGGAAGACCAATCAAGAAATGTCTTACATTTCTTGTAAAAAACTTGGTGCAATTTTTTTAATGAGGAGAGGTGTCAACCTTATTTGACCCTATTACAAGATTTTCCAAGCTACTGAATTCACACATTTATTCACAGCTTTTGTTTTGCTTATCACCTTTAACAAGGTATCACTGATGTACAATAAACAGAGCGTGTCCACACTATTGCATTTGATGATAAGTTTTGAGATGGGCATGTATGTTTAGATATCTACGCATGTGTATGTATGCGTGTGCATACGGATATCCATGTCATCATCGATACAATCACTAAATGAACCTATTTGTCATTCCCAAAGGGCAGCAGCATTTTTTCCTGTTCAAATGTGTATGCATACTCACATACAAGGAGGTGTTAAAAAGTGTGTTGAAAATTGAATAAAAGATAATAGAAATAATGCACAAACTTTTTGAAGCTCCTGTGTTGCTGCTGAGTACTGATAGCTATGTCGTTTATTCCAGCCAATGTGATGGTGTCAAACTGCCCCATAGACTTTTCTTGGCCTTAATCTTTATGGAAGATTGTCAGCTTTTCCATAATGTCATAAGGCTTCTGTTATTAATCTTATACTTTGATTTTTTTTAAAAACCTGCTTATTTTGTTTTTATACATATTCCAAACTTTATTTTTAGAACTTTTTAAATACATTTTTAGAACTTTATTCTGCAGTTTGGCTATAGCACTACATTGACAAGTGTTTACAGGGAACACCAGTTCTTTTGACAAGTTGTAAGTGTTAATTTCCTTTTAAATTAATTAAACCCTATTTTTAATATCTTTTGGATAATGACTTTCCTGACTTTACCTTCAACTATATTTTCTTCATTGCCCTAAAACTGTGTGTATAAGATAGTTTCTAGTTCAAATAATCTCAAATAAAATATTGGCTCCCCTCTTTTATTTAAAAATAGCTTCTTACTGAGTTTTTCTTGAAAAATTGATAGCAAGTTAGGTTCCTATTTATTTATTTAAAATAATTTTATTGAGAGCTCTTACAATGCTTATTACAATCCACACATCAATTGTATCAGGCATATTTGTACATACGTTACCATCATTCTTTTCTAGACAGGTACTTTCTATTGAGCCCTTGGTATCAGTCGTGTCCCCCCCCCAACCCGGTGACCCCTTGATAGATTATAAATTATTATTTCCATGTCTCATACTGACTATCTCCCTTCCTCCATGGTTTCCGTGTTCTTTCCCATGGAAGGGTGTGTGGTTGTGTGTCAATCAGTTCCCCCTTCTTCTACTCCTC